AGAGACCAATAAACACGTTTTGTGCACCATGTTTAAAACCTCTTGGTGTTTATTCTGATTAATTCAGAAGAGAATGATAAACTTTCACACTGACGTGAAGTCAAAGCAGCAGGAATAATTCAGGCTCGTCACCTGTCGTCTTCCTGCTGTTTGGTTTAATCTCACCAGCTGTGAGTGCTGCAGGGATAATGAAGCAAACACCTTAATCTGTGTTAAAGAACTGTTACTTACTGCTCTGAGAGCTTCAACAGAAACTCAAATTCACCAGAGAGAAGATCAAAACCTGTTCTGGAAGAGACGTTTGAAGTGACATCATGATCTGGCTCAGATATAAAGTAATATTTACTTGTACTAATTAAAGAACCGATATGAACACCAATTCAACGCTGCAACTTTATAGGAAAATACTTAAAACTTTATATTTTAATTTCTTAATTTATAATTAAAATGTATTTCTTAACAATAAAATATTACAAACATGATCGATGGATGCAGGTGCAACAACTCACTCACTGCATATAATACTATTATTATTGATAAATAAATTTTAACTTATTAAATTTTTAAATGATGGAAAAAGATTGATTGCTTATAATCAGTTTTATCATTATTTTTACAATAAACTTCTTACCTGTTAATAAGTTGTTTAACAGAAGAAAAACACCTCCATTATCATCATGGTTTACTTCCAGACTGTTAGCTGATTGATATATGAATAATCACAAATTTGGACATAATAAGGCATAATATGCAGGACAGTGTTATTTAAATATGTTTTTCTTTGCAAAATAGTTTCATTCTGTAAAATAAACTAACAGTCCACCCTATAAAATGCAGATTGTCATGTTTCTATTGGCACAATATTTCATGAACCACAAGACGGATATCAACCTTCATAAGCACAAACATGACCATAACTCAGTCAGTTTTGCAGATACTGAATTAAATTTTGATGCAGAAATGAATGAGGGTCGTTCTCAACACATACTCCAAGCAAGCAGCTCATGTGAGATGTATTCTTAAAAGCAAGCAGTCTCTAAAGAAAGGCTATTTTAAATTTTTAATCTATTATTTGACTCCATCTGTTCGATATGACAGAATTCAGGTTATAAATAGTGCAAAACAAAGAACCAGTGCTTCTGCTGGTCTGATGTAAAAGCACAGAGTTTAGTGTCTGCAGAGTGAATGTAATGTCTGCTGTCAGCAGCCGAAGCACCACAGATCCCAGTCGGTTGAGAGTGGGTGGAGGGGCCGGGCTGCTCTCTGATCCCCGCATCTGTGAGTCATCCCATCACTGGATCATTAGTCTGTCTGACCCCTGCTTTCTGAAGAGAAGAGCGCTAATGATGAAAATGGGCTCTGACGCTCACCTAATTTCACAAGCTCAAACGTAGCTACGCTCGCTTGTGCACACGCAAGAACAGCCGACGCTCCCCCTCCCCCCACCTGTGCGCTCCTACACCACATCCTCAGCACATTAAAAAAAATCTCCCAGTTCTTTTTCTTCCTCAACTTGAGCTCATCTTCTGCKTCTGCTTTGAGTTGAGATCTTTTCCCTTCACTCCTAATCAGCCTTACTCTCCATATTTCACACCTCAGAATCTCACCCATATTTTGGCCATGGGTTCTGCTGCTGCTGGGGGAGCATTGATCTGTTTGTCCGGACTGTTTGCCGGTTCGTTACAGATTGAAGGAGCAACAACGCTGCATCGAATGTTTGGTTTCTTCCCTAAATCCATTACAATGTTTGGTGCATTGTTCATCTAAAGGAGGGATGAAATCCATTCACCTGAGGTGGAGGAGGTTGAGTAACAAAGGAACGTCCAACGTGACCTTTCCTCTTCCCTCCATCTTGGCAGAACAATGTATTCRTCTGCTTTGTTTACAAAAAGGCTCTCAGGACCCCCAGTGCAGCTTGCTATTGATTGCTGCATTCAGATTAGGGGCCATTTAATGCAGAATCACATCCTGTTTCCCGGCTGTCTGATAACCCCTCACAGGAGATGGAGAAGACTTTTAAAGCGCCCTGGAGCCTTTTGTACCAACAACACGCACCATAGGCTAACCCCGGGGTGCTAAATGTTTCAATTCTATTAGCAAATGCTAATTAAAATGTGATTTTTTTTTTTACATAGCGTGTTAAGTGTTATCTTTGTCAACATGCAGTCATTGTGGTTRATCTACGCCAATTTAAAAGTCTCAGTTGTTTTCTGCTCATGGCAGCAGAACAAAGGGCTTGTCATGTCTGAGAGCACAGAAACAGTTAGAATTCAGCGTGCAGTGTCCTTTTGTTCTTTCTGCAGCAGTGTTTACTTTCTTCGGGACATTGGGTCCTGAGGAATTTCATCACAGCTTGTCATTATTCTGCTCACAGCACCCGGCAGCTGGCAAATTCACTTTTACCCTTTGATAATGTGGAAGATCATTAAGTATTCATGAAACTGCTACATCTTTGTGTGTGTGTGTGTGTGTGTGTGTGTGTGTGTGTGTGTGTGTGTGTGTGTGTGTGTGTGTGTGTGTGTGTGTG